CCACTCACCTCAGCCTCCCAAAGGCGCAGGATTACAGGCTGAGCCATCGAGCCCGGCTGCAAATATTTCTATCAGAAAGCAGTGAATGGTGCTGGTAATCCACATTTTAAACAAGTATTTCAGGCGATTCTCTTGCAGGATAAATTTTAAGAACTACTCTTAAAGAACAACTATTGAAAGTTTCTGAATATCCTATTTTAGGACAGTTATTATAATACAGGTTTGTGGGGAAAACTGGAAGTGAAAGATACTAGAGTTAGATAAATTATTATAGTACTGAAATAATGCAGTTAAAAACAATAAGGACTTCAATTAGGATGTTGATCAGAAAATAAGGGAGATTTTTGAGGCATATTTACTGGAAAAGTTAGGACTTGGTCATCAGATCTGGACCTGGAGATGGTGGGCTCAAAGAATAAATCCAAAATTTTAAAGCAAGAGCAGTACTTTTCAATTCTTTTTGTTTTGGGAAGATACAGTTATTAATTTTATTGTATAACTAGGTAGAAAAAGATCTGTCTATTATTAATAAAAATGTGCTTTGTCAAGAAATATAACAGTGTAGGAAAAATAATACTAAAAGGAGAAAGAATGATGGAATATGCATGAATGGATAGAACATTGTGTTTCTATATTACTAGAGAAGAATTCATGACACAGCAGATGGAGATTTCTCCCTACTGGATTCTGAATGAATTCTGAATGTCTTACCTTATTTGAATTAGTTAGTTTTAACTTCTTTATCCTGCATTTCATGTTCATATTTTTAAGTTTTATAAATAATTGTAAGTTCAGACATAAAAGTAATTCATGAGATTGGTGGATTCTCTGGGTACATAGATATTTAAAAAATACTTTACCTTTTGAATTTTTCTGCTTCAGCTTAATCTTCATTATGATTTAAAATAATAACATATTTTCTGTCTTTTTATTAAGACTTAGATTTAACTATGACTGTTTAAATTTGAAGAACATATAAGTCATATAGTATGTAAAGCATAAAGTGTATAAAGAAGAAAGTATAAAATATGGTCTCATTTTTGACTTGAAAATATGACCTTTTTTCTCTCCTTTTTGTGTACGAATTTTGAATTTTCAACACTTAACATTGACTATCATCTAATTAGCTGGATAGTTCTCGAACTTATTCTTTAGATGAATTTTATGAAGAACAATTACAGCAAGCTGCCCAGGCATTGAAGCAACTTGAGGATATCAGAAGCAAAGCAATTTCAGAGATGCAAAGGACATTTTTAAAGGTAGTTATTTAATTATTTCCTATTTATCATAGTTGCTATGTACTCACTGATGCAACTGATACAAATTTCAACTCTGGAAAAAGTGTCAGAAATGGGCAGACAGAGGAACAAAGGTGGCTAATTTACCAACCAACTGGTCTTGCATATTTATTACATACAAGAACTGTTCCAAGTGTGGTGTAAAATGTAAACATGTTTATATATGTATACATATGTACACACATAGAAGGGGGACCCAAAAACCTCGGAATTTATTTATAAAAAATTGTGTATTTATTCTTACATGTTTAAACTTCAGTAACCTTCAAAGTACTCTTCTTTTGATGCACTGCAGCTATCAAGATGCTTTTTCCACTGCTCAAAACAGTTTTTGAACTCATCACTTTTGATGCCTTTTAGTGTTTCTGTCATTTTTTTTGTTTCACCTCTTCCATATCAGCAAAACATTTCCCTTTGAGGACTTTTTTCATCTGGGAAGCAAATAAAAAAGTTGTTTGGGGCAAGATGGGGTGAATAGGGAGGGTGCGGGACGGGGCCATGCCATTTTTGGTCAAAAACTGCTGAACACTCAGCAAAATGTGGACAGGCGTGCTTGTAAATCACCCATCATGAAATGGGCAAAGGTGTTGAAAGAATCTAAAAAAAGAAAAAAAAATTCACTGAAGCCAAATGTGACTTCTTACAATAATGCTAGCTGAGGTACGCTGATGCCAGTGGGCTCCTAGAACACTTACCTAGGAGGGGAAGCCTGTATTGCTAGGGGCCTGCCCTCCAAAAAAAAATTCTGTTTTTTTAGGGGGGTTCTCACCACATATGAAATATATACATACATATATATACACATATACAATTTCAACATGTTTAAAGTCTAAATTGAGCTGGCATATAAAGGCAAATGTCATTTGTTACAAAGTTAATAGTGTTTCATAAATAAAAATCCATTGCTCAGGTGAAACATAGCTAGATGAAACAAAACTTTGCTAAGGATTCTATAAAGAAGACTCAATCATATAAAGAACAATGTCCTCAAAACATTCTTATATGCTGTTACTCATTTCACAGGGCTATTTTATATAGCTTCTCTCTATATAGGAATAACAATGCATGAAAGTATAATTCAGCAAATGCAGTTTGATAAGGGACTGATGCAATATCATCTAGTTATGAACTTGCTGCCTCTATTGGTTTGGCTGAATCCAGGTGGATATTTGAGGCTCTCTGGATAAATGAATGGACAAGGTCTCCCTCAAAAACTTTTTACATATTAATTATCTGAATTGAACTTGCGATAGATACTGAACAGCAATGAATTCAACAATGACAAGAAGATGAAGTATAGCTCTTTTGTGATGCATGATTTTTTGGGGGAAGCATTTGAAAGTCTCTTGTTCCTAACTTTATTCCTCACAGTACCCTCACCTCCTCAAGCCCAATTATGCAGACAGACTCTGGGACAATTTGACCAAAGTTAGTAAAAATCAAAAAGAGATGAACAAAATACCACTCCTAATCATTCCACTTTCTCTGATTCAGCATCTGGTCATATATATTTGCTTCTATTTAAATCAATTTCAGATAAGAACCTATTAGACCAGCTGCCAATCCTGATGTTGGGCTCTATCAAAATTATTTGCTCCATGGAAGTATATAGAATTAATAAAAGTGACATGATTATAAAACCAAGACTATGTCAAAACATTACACTTATCATGAAAGGATACACTTAACATTATCATGAAAGCATTCTGTATCATTAAGTCATTGTGTGCTTTTTCTCTAAGTTCCACATGTTCTCACTCATAAGCAGACCTTGAACAATTATCATAATACTATAAGAAAGGGATTGGCAGTAGTGGGAAACTACCAGGGGAGGGGAATGGAATTGGCAGTAGGTGGAAACTGCCAGGGGAAGGGGGCACACCTCATCAACAAGGATACCTACATAATGAACATTTGTATACCTAATGCTGAATTGTACCCCACATCTTTAATTAAAAAAAGAAAAGAAAAAAACACACAAAAATCATTGTGTGCTTTCTCTCTTTAAATGTTACCTTTCAAACAGAGGCTCAGTAGCTATTGTGGCATAGCTCCTTGATTTAGCAAAACACCACCTAGTGTAGTGGCCGAATGTTCAATCTGAGAGACCACCAAGAGCCAATTCCGATGAAAGTTCAAGAGGGTCTTTATTTGCAAGCTTGAGCCTGGACCTCTGTCGACCACCGACGCAGCAGAGTACATCCAGAGGCCCTGACTTCCTTGAGCAGATGCCTTTTATGCTTTTACACAAAGGGAGGAGGAGTTTGGGGGGGACTTTCCAGTATTGTTACCATTTAATTGGGTAGTAACCTCTGGTGGTCAGCTCAATCGTGGAGGATTGGCTAGCTTGACTCAGGCTGACCTTGGCCCACTAGCTGGTGAAGTTGCAGAGACATTTGGAAACTTTAGGTGATTTTCCCCTGGCACCTGATTGGTTGTTGCTAAGGGGAAAGTGGGTCAAGGGAAGGGGTTAAAGTTTGAACTAGAGCTTTGCAGTTTTTCCCATAACTGAAACTTTAAACAGCTACAGGTTATGTTTTAAAGCAGAAAACTAAAATGGCTGTGTTATTTTCAACAAGCCGATTACATATTTAATGGGTTATAGCATGCTCTTAACCTAAGTTTATGGTATACTCTATTACGGTTCTCTCATTCCCCCCTTCTCATGAGAGTAGAGTGAATCTTATCTTGGATTCCTTTAATATGCCGAGTTGTCCAGGGGCACCTGTTGGTATTGTTGTCTGAGGACAAGTTGCACAGTGTTTATTCTAGCTTTTATAAAAGTTATTAGTTTATTTAAAATACATGGACCGAAGGTTAGCAACAGCAAGAGTATGATCACGGGCCTATTAAAGCAGACAATAGTGTGGTTAACCAAGTGAGTAGTTAAACCAACGTTCAAACCATCCCTGTCTCTGCTCCTGCTCTAATTTGCGCTTAGCCAAACCTTCTCGCACCTTAGCCATGGATTCCTTCACTATCCCTGAATGGTCGGTGTAGAAACAACATTCTTCTCCCAGGGCAGTGCACAGGCCACCTTGCTGGAGGAACAGTAGGTCTAAGCCTCTATGGCTTTGCAGAACTACTTCAGACAGAGAGGTTAGGGATTCCTGTAAGTGTGAAATAGAAGTTTCTATTTTTTCTATGTCAGA